AAAAAAACAATTACAGATAACATCAACTCTTCCTACTACTAACGAAAGTACACACGATTTATATCCAACTGAAAGTGATAGAAGATCTAGACCATCAGAACGGAAAGCTTCATCGGATCGTGTAGTTAGTTTTGAACGAAGTGATTATAAATCATCGGAGAAGAAGAGAAGTAGATCAAGAAGAGATCGATTACATACATCAAAAACTCATACAACAGCACCTACATCAAGTAGTATTAATTCACTTGCACCTTTAGCTGCATATACAATGGAACAACCAACTTATTATAAAGTCCCACCATCGATGTATCAATTATCAAAATTATATATGCCAGTAGTACCGAATCATTATTCAACATTTCCGTATATTGTAAATTCAAATAGTTATTATCCATTCGTATACTATCATTATTAAGCTAATTTATATGATTAATTTGAAATTTTTGAAAATATTTTATGGTTTGTTTAAAAATTAATATTGTATTTATTTAATTCAAATAAAAAATTACGAAAAAAAAATATTTACTATGCAAAAATCTCAATGATAAGCTTTAACATCATAAATAATGTACTATGCTTATTGTTTTCTGAGTATTTAACCTAACGAAAAAACCTTGTCAGTAATTGAAGTAGTTCGTTTTCTTAGTGCATTTTTATATATAGACATAAAACTAATTAGAAAGTAGACTGTGTCAGCCACTAGGATCATTAAAAAAGCCACATTATATGCATATGAGTCAATCAAAATATATCTTAATGATAAAAATAAATATGTGTATTTTACAGCATATTGTGAATCTAAAACGTAAATTATCGTTAAATATACGACAGATTTTATGATTATATGTATGTGATATAAAAAAGATTTCAATTGATATTTAAAGTATAGCTTTATTATTTTATGATGTTGAAAACTATTTTTTAACCTTCATACGAAATTAATGTTTGATGTTTTGGAATAAAAACAGAACAAAATATATACAATTATATTCTTTTTTTACAATTAGATGTCGCTGTTCATATATGTCTATAGGTTAAGTAATGTCTTTTCTTTGGTTTCAATTTTCAACCATAGAAAGATTAACAAATATCCACACTGTATATGATGGAAAATATTATTTTCTAGATTTAATTTTTGACAAAATATTTCTTTATTTACAATAACAATGAGCCATGGCGATGCTCAAGGTGAATATTTTTGTTTTTTTCTTTATTAAAATATCGTTTCTTGCTAATTATTCTTCACTAATTACAGGTGAAATCGTCAAACTACAACAACATCTTATTTTACTTCGAGAAGAATATGTTAAACTACAACAACGTTATAAAATCTTAGAAAAAAATTACAATATTCTTAATGTAACAACAAAACTTGATCAAGATTCATTTGTTTGTCGTCTACTTAAAACAGTTGCAGAATTATTTAATCGAGAACTTTATAGGTACAAAAAAAAATCAATTACACGCACATATATAAATAACTTCTTTTTATCTTTAAGTGATATTTCAATTAAACTTGATGGAGAAACTTTATATGGTCATCGATTTATTCTAGCAGCACGTAGTCATAAATGGGATTCACAACAACTAGATGATGCGACTGAACTTGATCTATCGGGTAAAGAGTTTAAGAATATTATATATATATATATATATATCAATAATTGTTTAGATATTCCATATGATGTTGGTTTTCAATTAATTAAATGGGTTTATACAGATGAAATTGTTGAAAAACAAAATGAAGATTTTCTATTAACTTTAATGAAAATTGCAAATCGATTTGAATTAAAAGAATTAATTGAACAGTTCGTATATTTTATCGATATTAACCTTTATTTCATACATATACATATATATTTAGATGTCAAATTGCGTTAATATCAGCTATAACTGTTCGTAATTGTTTAAAATTCTATAAAATAGCCGAAGAAATAAATGCAACTGTTTTAGAAACACATTGCAGTCAATTAATTAGTACACATTGGGTAAAACAAACTATGAGGAGTATTTCTTATAAATTTATTTTAAAATTTAGACTGATTTTACAAGTGAAGATTTTCAATATTTATCCGCTTCAATGACTTATAAATTATTTAAACAAAAAACAAAATATTCACTTCATCAAGCTGTACGAATGAAACGTGAAGATGTTCTTTTTCTTTATTTAATCGATAATGATGCTGACGTAAGAAAAAGACGAAAAAAAAAAACGAAAAATTAAAATTTTATTTTTTTTAGTTAGATGAACGTCTTAATGAACTTGATGATCATAATGAATTAGCACTTGAATTAGCATTAAAAACTAAACAAGATAGTATGGCAGAAAATCTTGTTCGTCATAAAGCAGATATTAATCATATTGATAATAACAATCAAACATTACTTCATTTAGCAATTAAACGAGGTTTGAATTCCTTTTTTAGTTAATATTTGAATTTCTATTAGGAAATCTTTTTTTTCAGGTGATGAACATTCAGCTATTTTTCTTATAAAACATTCCTGTTTACTTAATCATCAAACAAATATTAAATGTGAAACTCCATTACATTTACTGAGTAGTCTTAATCCAAGTGAATTCTCATCAGATATTATGGATGGTATGTGTCGTGTAGCACAACTTATACTTGAATATGGAGCTGATACAAATCAAAAAGATGTACAAGGAAATACATGTCTTCATCGAGCAATATTAGCTGATAATATGAATATTTTTAAAGAATTATTAAAAGTAACTAATTTACCATTAAATGAAAGAAATATCGATGATCATGTACCACTTTGGCTTGCACTTCAACAAGCCGAACAAAAACGTAAGCAGTGTTTTATCTAGATTTTTCCTTTCGAGAGTGCGATAGCGATTTCCGGAGGTAATATACATAGTATAAGCACAAAAATTGCAATTTTCAGGAGGGTGCCGCCATCACTGCCCTCTCTTTAGATAAATCACTGAACGTAATTATGATAAATAATAGTAGACTCTAGTTAGGAGTAATAATTATATATCCTATGAATAATACAAAACTATTATTAAGATTGCTTGAATATATCACGTGTATTACTCATCGATATAGATAATTAAATATTTGTCGCGCATCAAAAACATATTTTATTTATATTACAAGGCCATACAATAGATTCTATGTATCCGCTTTCTTTCTCGATAGCTTGTGCATTGTTCATCAAAAGAGATGATAACACTAAAATATACAATGGGTTGCAAAAAGAGTTGGAACAAATCTTTACTCTGTATTTAATACATAGTAATATATTGTTTTATAATATCCAGCTCAATATTTAATTCATTCTCATTTTTACTCAACAACTAAGAAACATCTATTTTTCATGCTGTTAATCAAATTGATTACAAAAACGTTTTCCAGTCTTCATCGATAAAATTTTTCAATCGGATCGAGATTCGGACTATTGCATAGTCAATTGTCCATTGGTATTTGAAATCTAGTTGTTTTCTTATATTTCAATGTAATAATCACTGTTCCATGATAACTGTTGGAATCTCAAACATAAATTTTTTGCCGATTTTCGACCATCTGCCAGCTCGTAGTTATAGAGGATCGCAAGTTCAGAGCTTTTTCAACTGATAACTAATTGCAAGCAATGTTATCTTCGTATTTCGTTGAATTTTTTTGCCAAAATGAATTCCCTTGTTTCAATAATGTAATACAGAAATTAATCAGATATACAAATATTTTTAGCATATAGTCTAGTAAGTATAAACCTACGATAATAGTAAAATAAATGCTCAAGGGAATCTAGAAAATATAAAATATTTATGCTATCAGTTTGTTCTAAGTCTTTTTGTAAACTACTGTATCTATATATTGATTGAAAATATTTAGATTTGGATTTAAATAATGAAACATTTGTTAGTTTACTCGTTAATCGCGGTGCAAGTATTGATGCTATTGATCCATTATTAAATGATTCACTTTTACATAAATGTGCTCGTCATTGCTATCAATCAGCCGGTCTTTATCTAATAGAAAAAGGTGCTTCTATTAATCATACAAATAAACAAGGTGAAACAGCATTACATCTCACATCACAATTTGGATTAGAAAATATGACAAATGCATTATTAGAACATGGTGCTAATCCAAATATTCAAACACATACAACATTATCATTAGTTGATGAAGTTAATATAAATGTTGGTCTACAAACACCTATTCATCGTGCTGTTTATGCATCACAAGAACGTATACTTTATATTTATATAAATATTTTAGAGAAAAATTCCGATGAAAATCTTAAACCAAATTTTAATTTACAAGATGAACATGGTCAAAGTGTATTTTCATTAACACTTTGGATGAATATGTTAACAATAGCTAAACAACTTTTACAAATTGGTCATGCACAAATAAATATTACTGATTCAGAACAAACACCTTTATTAGCACAAGCAATCATGAAACAAAATGTTCAAGCAGCATTATTCTTACTTGAACAAAATGTTGATGTTAATCAAAAAACACATGGATTATGTCCAATACAACTTGCTGTTAAATATCATTTACCATCAGTTATTGAAGCACTTTGTCGAAATAGTGCTAATATGAATATTATTGATGAAAATGGAAATAGTGTTATTTGGAGCGCACTAGATTCAGGTCAAGAAGACATAGCAACAATACTAGTGAAATTTGGTTGTGATAGTACACAGTATGTATTTTTTATCTTTACTCGATCGGAAATAATCATATCAGATTAACAAATTGTTTTTTTTGTGTAAGATCTATATGAAAAAAGATTTCCTAGCGAAGTATAGAAGACAGTTAAATGTTCTAATTACTGATGAAGGATATTCTGAATATTTCAATAAGACATACACACTCTTTCATAATTTCTAGGTGGTCGAATGGTCCTGATAATTGTCGACAAACATTATTACATCGAGCAGTTGATGAAAATAATGAAAGTGTTGCTTGTTTTCTTATACGAAGGTATATTGGTATTGTTGAATATTTATTTATCTGATGTATTCATATTTAATCTAGTGGTTGTGATATTAATTCTCCTCGTCAAGTTGGTTTCAATGGTGAAACACCTGATATATGTAAAACACTTGAAAGTCCATTACATCTTGGTATATAGTTTATTTGTTTTAAATTACTTAATCGTTTCATTATGTTTTAGCTTGTCAATGGGGTCTCGAACGAGTTGTTTCAACATTAATTGAACATCATGCAGATATTAATAAAAAAGTATAGTTTAGAAATTTCATGAAGATTATTATTATATTCTTTTTTTAGGATGCAGAAGGAAATACACCACTTCATGTTGCAATTATTAATCAACATATAAATATTATTAATTTACTTATTCGTGCACCAAATTTAGATCTTTCAATACGTAATAAACAAAATCAAACATCATTTGCTTGTTCAATTG